AGCAGGAATCTCTATATTTTTACTCTGAAAAATAATTTGCAATATTTATCAAGAGGTATAAATCAATAAAGCTTTAAACTTTTTTTTTTTGTAGTCTGCCAGTGAACTCTAGCTGAAAATCTGACTCAATTTTAACTGAAGTAAAATAAAATGTATGGAAAAGACCACAGCCTATAGCCTGTATTCCCTCTTTGAAGTGCTGGAAAAATGAAATCAATGAAACATAAATTTCAGGATTGTTGAGAAGCCACAGACACTACATAAAGGGTAGTATAGTTTCATATTTTATGATACTGACTGAATTTTTCAGCAGATATATACTGATTGCGTTAACCTAAAATGAATTTGTGGTGGCTTTCTTAAGCCTTTTACTATTTATAACTTTTTATATCTAAACCAAAGAATTACTTTTAGTATTTGCCTGTATATCTTCTGTTTCTCGTTTTCTTTCATATCTCTCAATCACCCTAGCTTTTTCACTGGTAGAAAATGACCGTTATTTTGTGGTAGAATTTTTGGTAGGACATAGTAATTTTGGGTAAATTAGTAAAAGCCTGTGGAAAGACCAGATAATAGATTGAGGCTCGTCTTTATTTGCACATCGAGTTGAATCTGTGGTGAAATCTTTGCTGTCATTGCTTGGTTTTAGCATAAAACCAACTAGTGTGATTTTGTGTGAATTATTGTGTTGAAAAGAATAATGCAGCTGACTCACCTGGTACCAAATAACAAGCACATAAATTTTCAATATTATGTGTTATAATGCAGTCTAGGGCTTCTTAGTGGTTATTATAGCTAAGCTGATCAATAAACATGAATTGGTTAGGAAAGGCCAGATCTTTCTTACATTTAGGTATATAAGTGTGAGAGGTAGGATTCCTGTGACTGAATGTTTCTGCCTTTATTGGACGTATTCATTCTGAACTCTTCCTGTAGTTAACAGAATCTAAGCTATAATTTGCCTTACCTTGAAATGTATTTCTATAACAGGGCAGATTAGCCATTCCTTAAACAAAGCTGATTATCTTTTCTGTCTTTAAGGAAGACACGGCTTGGCTAGCGTAGTTGTAGACATTTACCTCAAGTGTTTAAATTAATCTTAGATCTGTAGAATACTGCTCTGTCAGTGGATGTACAGTGTGACAAATGTCCTTTTGTAGATACATGTCCCTGCTCTTCCTAAATAGAGGCACTTTTGATGATCAGTTTTATAAACCAGGCTAGGTACTGACATTCTACATAGCTAAAGCTACATAGGATCTCTCTTCCGCAGACTTAATTTTTGGTAAAGAAAACAAGAGCACTATGTTAAAAATGTGGTCATTTTGTACCAAGGGGATTTTCATGCCATTGTTACAGGCTATTTTTAACCCTGAGTTCATGAAAAGTATAGCCATGGAGCTGGTTTTGGTCCATTTTGGCAATCATCAGACCACAGCAAATGAAAAAATTCCTTAAAAATATCCTTTTAGATCTCTCTTTTTCCTGCCTTTATTGCATGTTGTACTAATATCAGTTGCAGAAGGAAAAAGGTGTGTGGAGTTACAGTTGAAGTAGATAGGATGATTTCCATTGATTTCGCTGAGGTTTGAGTCAGATGTATTTTAAATTTGTATAAAAATAAATGCAGATTTCTAGATTTTTTTTACATTTATCTTAAAGAAGAGGTCCAGTAGAACTCCTTCTTAAGAGGCATTAAAAAAATAAATTTTACTTTTATTGGATATTCTTGAAGTAATGTTGATTACACATCACTCACCCTATGCACATCAAAGAAGTTCGGTGAAGGTCCATCTGAAATGTTGTAACCTTCCATAGAATTATGTCAATGACTATCCTGCAAGCAATATGAAGCTGTTTGTGTTTTTTATAATAGATACTCAGAAATATTAATACAGAGGCACAGCTTCAGGTTCTGACGTCAGTGGTATTGCTGTAAGTCTTGAATGATGGTATAGCTGTCAGTAGAGACTTTCGTTAGTATAAGTGGGATTTAGGATACTCTGTAAAAATAGATACATAATGGAACTATTCATGCTTACTGCAAGGAAACTGCCTATCAGGCTTTATTTAAATACTAGCTGGCATGTCTTCACATCTGAGGCTGAAGAATTTGGTTTAAGTCTTCTGAAAAATAGTGGCAGGAACCTCACTGAGAACAAATATATTTCTGGCCAGAGCACATGGAAGGTATCAAGTTGAAAAAGAAGTGACTAAAGGGCTGAATTACTAAGGAGCCTCCATGTAATCTGTGCTTTTGCTTTCCAGATTGCAGGGTGAGCATGAGTACTGCTGAGTTCATAGAAGATGTCCTAAGGAAAAAGATTGCTAATGAGAAAAGCGCGGCTTGTCAAAAACAAGGAAGCAAGCAAAAAGAAGAGATCACCTTTCCTAAGCTTCCTAGACATATTCTAAAAATGGAATGGGGAGGTTGCTAGTGACTCTTGATTTGGGAAAGAAAGTAGCAGCTTCTGACAGATTACATGGATTCTCTTCTGCCTCTTTTAAGCTCCCAACCAGCTGAATTAAATCATTCAGAATTGAACAAATTACTTGTATTACAGCAGAAACTTGTTTGAAGGTTTTATGTGGGATATTTGTTGATGCTATTCTTACCAAGCAAACCCATCTTGGTTCAATTTTTAATGAAATGAGCTGAACTCTGAAGCCAACTTATAGAATCACACAATCATTTAGATTGGAAAAGACCTTTAAAATCATCAAGTCCAATCATTACTCACCTTCAAGGTTTTCCTTCTTAGCCTTGGCTCAGGGTAACACTTGCCAGGCATCTTGCTTATGACAGAAGTGTGATATTGTATGTACTTCAGAGTTTTTGGCAGGCATGTATACACACCCTAACAATAAATCAGGACTCAGAAATTCTCCAGGAATTTTAATTCAATGACCATCACCTAACTCTAGCTCTTGAAAGATGCTTTATGTGCCTTGTATTTTTTAGGATGCCTCCTTTTATCTGTTTCTAAATAAAGAAGTTTCTTCAGTTTCTCCCTTCATGAAAACAAAAAGGCACTTGGAGAGGTTTAGCTTCATCAGAATCTCTCTCAGCTTATATATCATCTATGATTTTGAAAATTTGAACATAACTTCATTTTTCCCTTAGTCTGGTGATGTTTCAACGAAGTAACAATTTTGGTTTGTCATGCAAGACACTATGGTGCATAAAGGAAGATGGTTTTGGCATTGTTATGACCTAGAAATGTATTTATTAGCCTTGTTAGCTGACTATTTTTTATATAGATGCCTTGAGATACTATCCCTTTTCATAACTGTTGAAATAAAAAATAAAAATGTAAGACAGCTGGAAATGAGAGACCCTTAAACATCCCCCACTGCATGACCTGCAGCAGCTATTCCCAGTGTCACCAGTAATATTGCTAAGGATTGCAAAAATATAATTCCCCAAATGGAATGCTGAGCACTCTGTGTCCCCTATGATGAACCTGCACCACTATTACAGATGTTTTTGACACATGATTTTGACATGTGTCTGTTGAAAGAACTATGAATGTCATTTTTTTTCCTAGTGTGATATTAATGAGCATGGAGAGCTGCAACAGTTTGCAGAGAAATATTAAAATTCTGCATCTTATAATTCCAATTCTCAATTTTTTTCAGATTCAATGCCATGAAAAGTGATCATTCAAGCATGAATATTTTTCAGTACAGTAACATATACCTTAAAAATACCATCCTTTATTTCATGGAATCATAGAATTTTATTAGCTGGAAGAGACCTAGAAGACCATCTAGTCCAGCCTTTGTCCCAGCCCTCTCAACCCACTAAACGATTCCCCCAAATGCCACATCCACTCCTCTCTTAAACACCTCCAGGGATGG